TAGAATGTTTTACTCAGCTGGACTTCTTTTTAACCTAGTAAGGAATCCACATTACAAAAATGTCTCTACCTATGCATGCAATAATAATCTTGCAGGATACTTGCCACCTGGATATAATGTTATTAAAATGAAGTTGTTGCAAAGAGGAGGAATAATATTGAGAAGTTGCTTGAGCCTACTAAAGGAGTTTGGAAGGAAAAAAGAGTTACTTTGGTTTGTGATGGGTGGACAGATCCACAAAGAAGACCACTTATCAACTTCATGTCTGTAACAGAGAGTTATCCAATGTTTATCAAAGCTGTAAACTGTGAAGGACAGTACAAGGATAGGTTCATCATTTCTAATTTAATCAAAGAAGTTATCATGATGGTGGGGCCTTCAAACATCATCCAGGTCATTACTGATAATGCACCTGTTTGTAGAGCTGCATGTCTACTTGTAGAGCAAGCCTATCCTCATATTTTTTGGACACCATGTGTTGTGCATACGCTTAATATTGCCTTGAAGAACATTTGTGCAGCTAAGAATACCGAGGCAAACGAAATCACCTACAATGAATGTCATTGGATAACAGTGATTGTTGGAGATGCAGTTGTAGTTAGGAATTTTATTATGAATCACTCCATGAGACACTCTATGTTCAATGATTTCTCTAATTTGAAGATGCTTGCAATTGCTGAAACTCGGTTTGCCTCGATTATAGTGATGTCGAGAATATTCAAAAAAATAAAAAATGTTCTTCAAGCTATGGTGATCAATGACAAATGGTCATGTTATAGAGAAGATGATGTTGGAAAGGCTAGATATATAAAGGAGAAGCTTTTAGATGATTTATGATGGGAAGAGATTGAATACATCATAAATTTCTTAGATCCAATTTATGAGATGTTGAGAGTAGCTGATACAAAAAAGTTTTGTTAATATCTCATTTATGAGATGTGGGATTCAATGCTTGCCAAAGTAAAAAAAATTATATATAGACATGAGAGGAAAGCACTTCATGAAGACTCAAGCTTCTGGGATGTTATTTTTGATATTCTAGAAGATAGGTGGAGCAAATGTAATACACCTTTACATTGCTTGGCTCACTCACTAAAGCCTAGGTAAATTTCAATATTTTTCATTATTAATTAATAATTTGTTGTTTAGTAATTTCAACATTTTTTCATTATTTTATTTTAATATTTTTTTAAAATATTCAACTAAAGAATGACTTCAAGAGGATCCTTAAAGAGTTTCTCCACAGAAAGATTTAGAATTTTCAAATATGAGAAATAAATGTTTGAAGCATTATTTTCCAAATTAAGAGGAGAGAAAAAGTGTCAATATTGAGCTTGCTATATTTTTTAGTTATTTAGAGGACTTTGGTTACCAAGAGTCATTGCGTGATAGGTGGAGAAATTGACCCGAAAATATGGTGGATTATACATGGAGCTTCATCACCTCTACTTCAAACAATCGCCATAAAATTGCTTGGTTAAATTTCATCCTCATCTTGCTGTGAAAGAAATTAGAGCACATACTCGTTCATCCAATCAATGAAGAGAAATAAAGTTACTCCACAACGGGCTGAAGATTTAATTTATGTGTATACAAACATTTGACTTCTCTCAAGGAGAACTCCAACTTATATGGAAGGAGACAATAGGATGTGGGATGTTGCTAGAGATGGATTTGAATCTCTTGAGGATTTGGGAATATTAGAAATTGCTAATCTTTCACTTGATGAACCTGAATTAGAAGCTATGATATTTGCTGAAGATGATATAGAAACTCAAAGAAAAATCACTGAAGAAGCTAATCCAATCATTCCTTCTATTGAATAGTTGAAATTTCATGTGCTGGACAATTTAACTTTTTGTTTTTATTGTTGTACTAGACATTTAAATATTTAATGCTTACTTTTATTTCAAATTTTTTTGTCATTTCAAATATTACACTTTGATTAATTTCTTAATTTTTATGTATTATTTATATATTATAATGTTGTATCCGCGTTGTATCCGTATCCTGTATTTTTAAGAATTGGCGTGTCCCGTATACATATCGTGTCGTATCCGTATCGTCGTATCCGTATCGGTGCAACATAGGGGTTTGGTTGTTCGAGTCTTTAATCACTTATTATACCTGAATAACATGGTTTTTTTTATTAAAACTGAAAATTGATTTACCACCTTTCTCATATTTTTAACATGATACAAAATCAATTTAATGTTAAAATTTAATGACCCAAATATAACAATGTTACTGACAACATTAGCCAACCATATCTCCATGGAAAAGGAAAAAATGCATGAGCCCTTTTGAACCATACAACTAAAAAAAAAATAGATTGGCTGCAAAAAGCATAGCCACCCACTAACCATTCATGCCACAATGGCTCGCCTTTTTCAAAAAATTATCCAAAATAACATTGGAGCAAGTATAACAGTCGCTCACATCATAAAATGATTATCTATAAAATTCTTTAGGTTTAAGAGTCCCACACAAATCCTAAATAAGGTTTTTCCCATTTCAATACCTCACACAATCTTATTCCAAAAATATCTAAAATTGTTGCCCTTCTCTGTACACATTCCCAAAACAAAAAAAAAGGATATTAGAGCGATTAAATGTGACTTCATTGACTATTCTCCCATATATTATATAGGTACAAATGCTACTATCCACCAATAAGAAAGTGATGTAGACAAAGGGGGGTCAACTCAAGCCCAAAATAATTTGCTTTTTGGCTTCCCTTGAGTTTACAAGCTAAATCAAATTTGAGCTGGAATTTAGCTCATTTATGAGCTGATCTTTAGTTCACTTATTTAACTAAGGTTTAGCTCATTATTAGCTAAGTTTTAGTTCATAGTTATCTTTAATTAAATGTAATTTTTATTATTTTTATGTCTTTAATTAAGTTTGTCTCTTGGAATTCCAAAATGGCTTTTGGAATTCCAAGAAGTTTTGTTTCCCATACCATGGCTCCTTGGCTTCCACGGTGGATTGCTGTTTTCCGTGCATGGCCCCTTAGTTCTCACGGTGGTTGTTGGTTTTCCGAGCTGGGGGCTTTTCCCGTGGCTTTGGCACCTCGGTTCCGTGCGGCTCCTTTGGTTCACGTCATTGCTCCTTCGGTTCCTGGGCTGGGCTGTTTTTCCGTGAAAAGCATGGGAGGATTTCCGTGCTTGTGTTGCTTAGATTCTTGTGTGAATTCAATGTCGTTTCATTTTGTATTCCCCCTTTCATACCTATAAATATGAGGGATTTGTTATGTTTTAAAAAAGAGAATGATAAGTTATTTTTGGAAGCTATAACCTGCGGGTTTTCTTGGAGAAGCTTGCGAGCTTTGTCCATCTTCTTTTCTCATCCCCTCCGGAAATCTTGCGAGCTCTTTCCGCCCCTCTTCTCGGCTTCTAACCTCTTTCGTCTCTCCACAAGTTTACACCCCACCTCTATCCTTCTTCTCTAAGTGAAGCAAGTTTAGGGTGTCTTTGATTTCTATTTGAGTTTAAAAGTCGTTTAATTACAATTTGTAGTTGTCGGTTTGTTTGTTTTAATTTCTAAGTCTATCTTAGATTTCAAATGTAAGAGTTTGTTCTTCCGCTCTTCCGATTCTCCCCATTTTGTGAGCGTCGTGTCTTCCCTCCCCCTTCGTGCCGGCGGAGGTCCTCGGGTGCCCCATCCCCCGAATTTTTTGCCCACATCAGAAAGGTCTAAATGTCTGTCTCACACTCTCGTTATGAAAACTTCATTTAACAAATATGTTCAAAGAGATGGGTAGGCAGGAATGTAAGCTTGTTGAAATCCCCAATGAAATTAGTCATAAATTTGGAGATGCACGAGACACATCATTGGGAGAATTTCATAGCAAATACTGGTGAGAAGACATCTATACATTAAAAATAAGATTTGAAATTGGCTATGTTGTTGGCATGGTAATTTAATCCATAAACAATCTTAAACAATTGCATCATAGGTTGGGAATAGAATAGGAAATTACACATTTTTAGAAAGCAATCTCGTAACTTAAGTTAAAAACAAAACATGGCATCAAGATCAAGCGCAAAACCCGAATTCAAATCTATGAAACTGGGAATTTGTGAAATATTATGACTAAAGATTACTATTAATTTTTAAAAATCAAATCGAATGTTTAATAAGATTTTAATATGTTAAGTCAGCCATAAATATTGCATATAATTTAGTTCAGCATGATCATACAAAGTATATTGAAGTTCAAAAAAATTTTATAAAGATGAAGCTTAACCGTAATCTTATGTGTACAGCACTAATAACCACATGCAAACAACTTGCAGATTTACTCACCAAAAAAGTAATTGGGACAGTCTTTCAAAAATTATTTAGCAAACTTGGAATGGATGACATCCATTCCTTACATAAAGGGGAATGTAATAAGTCCCTTGAATTACTCCAGCATTTTGACATGTTTTCAAGGACTTCAGGCATTGCGATGCTTCATAAATAATACCATGAATATATGTCATAAATAATACCATGAATATATGTCATAAGGATAGGAAGAGTGCCTGAAAACACAGATAATAATATATCTTAAATGGAATATTAAAAAAACCAAGCTTCTTCACCTTTTGTAAGGTTTGGGGAAGAAATTAAGTTTCTGCGCCTTAATTAAAACTTTACTAGTAAAAAAGCTTGTGCAGTGTTGATTGCAGTTCGTTAAGTAAAACTAATTGTCCAAAGAGTAGACGGTTGCTTAGATCAATTGCAGGAAATCATTAACCTTAGTCATCCAGCGACAATTCCGACAAAAATCAAGCAATTAACAAATTCCAAATGATCCCCAAATACAGTTAAAGCTAGAGAAATCTGTTCTATCATCATAAAAAAAAAAAAACTCAAACTGCAAATAGATGCCTCAACAAATTTTCAAATTATATCAACTATGAGACAATAATTAGTGATTTAGCAAATTCATCAATAAAAACTGAAATGTTTCATATAATTATAACTAATCAGGAAAATAAGCACTATCTCACCAGAGAAATCTTCAAGGCCTCTAACACGGTCACCTTGTTCGTACTTACATCATGATTATTCATAATATAAACAAGAATCTCTTGAGCCATGCCCTTCACAGATTCCTGGAATAAAGAAAATGGTTATCCGGAGTCAAAATCAAAGATCACGTACCTCCATCCCATCTATTACTTCCAATATTTACCACTATGGATTGACACCAACAAATTTCTCCATCAGTGCACAAAAATTTCAAGTACCATAAAACCAGCAAGTTTAGACTATATGATTATCGAAATCTAATCAAGTTCAAATGCATGGATAGGAATACTGTGAGTACAAGAAGTTTTTAACTGCAATTTGAAATAATGCATTGAATTATGAGCATCATATAGGAAAAGTAGCATAAACCTCAACAAACTTGTCCATGAAACATTACCATTTTCAGCAATTAAATTAACCGTAAATATCAAACACATGCATCTCAAATAGGGTGAAAATATCCCTGCTATGTAAGAAAAAATAATCAGCCATGACTTGATATAGAATAAATACAGAAATGCAATATACTTCCTCTAGACGAATCATGTAAAGATTAGTATAGCATTCCATGATTAACATTTTTGGAATCAATTTATAGACCTATGTAATGACTAGTATAGTTTGATTAATATAGTGAACATTAAATGGCACTCATGAGCTACTTATGCAGTAACTTTTCTTCTCATACTATTAAAGTATCAAAAAAAGAACATGATGGACCAGTCCCTCCTAGACCGGCCATGACTTACAGCAGGCATGACTCCCACCTGCATTAAGATCCCATCCTCTTTGGGGTAGGGCCCCGGGGGATACTTAAAAGGGAAATGGGGGCATCTAAGAGGGAATATTCAAATGAAGGGGTTGTTTTGGGATATGCCTTATTATTGTACACTTTATGTAGGTGGTTTACTCTAGGGTTCAAATTTTTAGGCTTGATTTTGCTTAGGTTGTGAGGGCTCTAGCCAACGACTAGGAATTTGCGAGAGCAAGATCTTCCTCTCCAATTGAAGATCCAACTATATCTTATGTTTTTCTTCAAAGTTTTTTCAATAAAAAAGTATTCTTGTTTGTTCTTCCTAAATATCTTTTGCCATTCTTTGATTTTGTAAAATTGCATCCACTTCCTATCAAATTGGTACCAGAGCCTAGATTCAGGTACATATGACCGGAAAAAAGGTAGAAGTATTATAAGGGGATATCATACTATTTAAATATGATTTCGAAGAAAAAATTAAGATTTCCAAATTCCTAATATGATATTACAAAGGTATAAGTGGGGGAAACCCTAATCTGATAAGGAGATGAGAAGATCAAGAGGTGGAGATTTTAGAGGAGAATAGATAATGCCTCCCCTAGAGCCTATTCCTAGGTAGGAGATAGGTAGAGGGCATAGGGACAGGCGAGAGAGGGTGGGGTATGAGCGAAAGGGTGCTGAATTTGAAAGGAGATTGACTGATTAAGATCGAAGGGGTGATGATTTTGAAAGGGAGGTTTTGACAAGAGTTTAGGTACGAGCGTAAAATGATGTTCAGGACACTTGAGGTGGGGAGGGGGGGGGGGGGGGGGGCAACCCCAAGGGAAATTAGAGGTTATATTGGAATCAAGAGGAACAGACGAGATCTGAGGCTGAGAAAGATGAAGATGCCTTTTTCTGAGGGAGAGGATGCACATTAATGGATCTACAGCGTGGACAATGTACTTTGCCATTAATCAGTTGAAGCAAGAGGAGAGACTTACAGCAGCAGACCTGTGTTTAGAGAGGAAAGTATAGGCATGGTACCAGTGGAGGGATATGAGGCGACCCATACGGAACTAAAGGTAGTTTAAGGACAGCCTGTTAGAACATTTCCAAACAAGCATGGGAAGGGATTTCTATGAGCAGTTCTTCGCATACAAGAGGGAACAGCTGTGGAGTACCGTGGATGTTTGAATACCTTGCCAACAGACTGGATTGGCTTTCAGAGACTGTACTGGAGGGGAACTTTATGAAAGAGCTCAAACCAGAGATTCACGCGACATAATGATGAGGCCTCATGATTTGGAAGAGGCTATGAAGCTAGTCCAGTTAGTGGAGGAAAATAAGCACCAAGAGAGAGCGACTAGATGTAGTAATTCAGGAGCTTCGTACATGATGACCACCACCTCTTTGGCAACCAAAGGGCCGACACTGGGTATTCTTCGGGAGACCCTGAAGGAGAGACTGTATTGAAGGGGAATTGGGAGAAACTTCAAGAAGCACACTGAGATGGATTTAAAGGAGATGGGCGAATAGGCTCTATTTCAGATGTGATGAGAGGTATACACCAAGAAACTTGTGTAAGTACCAAACTCTTCAGGTTATCACTGTTTGTGATAACAAGGAAGCTGATGAGTGAGGTAGTGTTGCAGGAGGAAGAATTGGATTTAGACGTGGCAGAGGCCTTCTTGAACTCAATAGTGGGAAATAAAATTATCCTGGATTGTGGTCTACAATTTTGAATAGTGCAGCACAAGTAAAAACCTTTGTAGAAATAATTCTACATGAATTTGGATAGAAATTACCACTCCAAAGAGTGACTTGAGAACTATTTGTGAGTCAATACCTTCAAATTTAGGGGGAAAAAAAAACATTTCCTTTGGGACAAGATCCCAAAGGTGGAAGTTAGAAGGACTGACTAATGCAAATGGCATTTTTAACACTTCCTTTCAAGCTAGATTATATACATCAAATAATCCAAACTTTATTTTTTTTTCAAATAATCCAAACTTGCCTATCTTTTTTTCTAGGTTTTTGTAACTTCCTGTTCAAAATATTAGTAGTGTGTTCCAAAGTAATAAAAAGGATGTAAAGTGCATCACCTTCATTTATTACATATTTCCACATGCTTAGTATAATCATGGCGCATAACATAATGGTAGATATTGATGATAGCTTTATTGTCATAATATAGTTTTATATGCCCTTAAAGTGTATCACCTACATTTATTACTTAATTCCACATGCTTAGTATAATCATGGTGCATAACATAATGGTAGATATTGATGATATCCTTATTGTCACAATATAATTTTATGTGCCCTTAGTGATGAAGGTTAGTCTTCAGTGATTAATTTTAGCTAAATTTATTCACTAAACCCATTAAAAATGATCTTAGCCAACTTTTGCAAAAGAAATTTTGGCTACAACTTTTGTTTCTTACTCCTCTATGTCACCTAGTAATCTCAAACATAAGAATAATATCCTGATAAGGATCTTCTATAAATAGTGGAACTAGCCCAATCAATAACAAGGTAAGCTTCAATTCTTCAATCCAAAAGAATATACCCTTCTTAGACTTCTTCTTAGATACTTCAGGTAATGTAAAGCAATATTAAGATGTTCTTCATAAGATGCAAACACAAGCATGAATTGACCTACTATTGTAACAAGGAAATATCAAGCCTAATGTATTATAATACCCGAATATTCGAAATAAATGTAAGTATATACTTTCTCTAAATGTATATTGATTTTTATTAAATTCTACTTTTAAAAAAATATAAAATCAACTAGTTTGACGTATGGAAGTATGCATAGAATAGTAATCTAATTATCTAATTTAATAAATTGTACTAATGGTACAGCTAATGTATTTAACTGTTTATAATTAACTTATTATGTTTTAAACAGTTGAGTCAAATCCACGTATTATGTATATGAAGAATTAATGCAATTCAGATTCTAAATTCCAGGATTCCACTTAGGTTAGCATGCATTGGCTGATCTTTTCCTTAGTCCATCCAACGGTTAGCATTAAAGCTCAGTGGAATGCAAGAGTTAGTGGAATTAAGAATATCTATATTATAATGTATGGTGTGTACGGCTGAGAGAGTTTATTTATTTATTTATTTAGTTGTTTAAGTAATAACCGAGTAGTGGATGTTAGGGATTATACAAGGCTCAGTATTTATTTCCTACCCACCGTTCTTTGAAGTTGGACGTTGTGGGTGAGCAGGAGAAAGGATTCAGTGGAGTTGTTGGGAGGGAATGCAGAGGAGAAATAGGTTGCTGCGTGTTTATGCTTTCTAAGGTAAATATTTAGGAGCATGTATAATTATTGATTTGATAAAGTGATTTAAAAGTCAAGCATATGTGTTATCTGAAATCAGAAAACTCTTTGTACAAGCATATGTTTTACAAGCATTTGTGTTATCCGATAAATAGTATTGAAGTTAGTTGTTAGGGATTACTGAATTTTAGAAGGAAAGAGGAGAAAGAAGAGTAAAAAGAAAAAGAAATGATTTAGGAGTTCAAATAAATTGTGGATGGTTTTATATAATAAAAATCAGATTTAAATTGTTGGATTAAGGATTAATTTATATAACTGAAATCATCAATTTGATGGCTGAATTCAGATGTTAATAATTTATGTATTCAGGAGGGGAATTCAATCTGCAAAAAGGTTCTAGAAAAGAATTTGGTCGAGAGGAATTGCCATATTCTCTGCCCAG